CAGGAACTGGTCTCCACATGGGATCCGAACCCTCGGCGGGAGCGCCGTCGCACTCTCAAGCGGCGCACTCTCCAGTGTGCCACCGGGCCGGCCCAAAGTTGCCAACTCTTTACTTGGCAGTTTGGACCCTTGAATCTGGCTGTCTTGGAAGTTCCTGGACTCTAAATCTTATCTTCCCTTGCCAAGTGAGATAGTGTGGGTGCTAGGCTGCTACCTCTATTGACCACTGTGCTTTGCCCTGGGAAGTGGATATCAGTGCAGCGCAGACAGTGGGCGCCAGTGCTGTGTAGACGGCATGTGTAGAGTGAGAGTGCCGGTGCTGTGTAGACAACAGGTGGCAGGGCCGTGTAGGTGGCAGGCATTTGAATTCCCTGTGGTGTGTCTAGTCATGGTTTGTGCCTCGGTTGGGATGCTGAGTACCCCTGGTGGCCTTTGTCCTTGGTGGGGCGTGGAGGAGGGCTTCTCTGAATAGAGCTGGGGGCTGGGCAATGAATAGCTTGCCAGTGGTGTCAGCTGCCTGGGGACAGTTTAGTCTGAGCAAAAGGGACCTGAGAGGGGGTGGCATGGCAGTGGACGGGGGCTGGGCAGGTCATCCTTCTTGGTCCTGATGCAGTGTCGTTACCAGGACCAGCGTTTCTGGTCCCACCGTTCATCTGCTAGTTGTGGCCAACATGGCCCTTTCTGTTGGACTGTACGTGCTACAGCAGTTTCTATCATTTCTCTCCTCAGCATCCAGAAGAAGCATTTTTATGTAAGGCTATTCAGAGAAGTTTCATGTTCTTTTGAGTTTTAGTTCTGCCTCATTTAAATCTCTGTAAGCTTTTTCACTTATGGAAAGTGGATCTGAGTTTAAGTGAGGTCCTGTCTGCGGTTGCCCTCCAGCAGGTGTGGTGCAGCCAGCCGATGGTATGGACGGCCTCAGTTTCCCTACCCTCCTCACAGTAGAGCTGCAGAACCGTGGCACAACAGGGGACACACTGTTGCCACATGACCGCATGGCAGCCATTTGCACACTTTTTCAAACCAGTGGATGGTCTGTCCCAACCCTCAGGCACGTCCAGAATCTCTTGGAGTTATCTCACCCAGCGTTCTTGGTGTTTGTGACCTGTGCTTGAGGTTGGTTGAGCAGAAGTACCACCAACCAGAGCATGGTAGAGACCAGGAGGGAGGCACGAAGAGGTCAAAGCATCAGGAGAGGGGTTCTCATGCCCTAAAGGCTTCAGGCAGGCCCTCTTGCCCCCTGACTTTTATAAAACTCTAGAGCTGTGGTTAAAAGCCTCTGCTTAGCAAAAGGGAGGTGCTACTGGGGAGGCACAGGACCACTGGCCATGCTGTATAGAAGACTTTCAGAAGCCACCAGAAGATCCCCAAATGCTCAGTAGCTGGGGGACCTGTGGGCTGGGCCCCAAGGGCATCAGTGGGGGAAGCAGAAAATTGAGTCTCAGTCACCCGGAAACCCCTGGAATGCTTCCTAACAGAGCCGGGAGAGAGGCGAGCATCGGATCAAGTGCCAGCTAATTTTGTTTCAAGGAAAGCAGTCAATTTATCTTAGTTAAACCAAGTTTAATTCCAATCTCCTTTTTAAAATGTAACACTTTCTCCCATCATTTTTTACACCACCAAGTTGAAGTTAAACTATAGAGCCCCTGTAAACACATTGTGGTCCTGGCTCTGCCTCCGATCGCCCCCTCCCTCCACCAGCTGTGCATCCCTCAGCCTTCTCATTTTTTTGGCACATTCCAAAATTGCAGACATCTGCCCACAACCCCCAAAGCCCCTCAGTAGGAGATCGTTAGCTGACTAGAGTTCAATATTTGTTTATGGTTCCTTTGTTCCTTTTGAGGTAAAATTGGCACTAAATGAAAGGCACAGGTTTTGACTGTTGCATTTGATGAGTTCTGGCAGCTGTATACACCTGTGCACCCAGTCATCTGTCAAGCTGCAGAGCAGCCCATCCCTGCAGCGTGCCTCCCGCAGACTCAGAAGAACCGGGATCTGGTGCCCTTTGCCCTCGCCCAGCTGCACTAGTGCTCGGCTGTCTGTGAACAGAATCGCACATTCTTTGCTCTTTTCTGTAAGGTCTCTGTCACTTTTGGGATTCATCCATGTTGTGTTATGTTCCAAGTGGTATCATTGTGTGAATACAAGATAGATTGTTGTTTCTTCTAGTGGTGGACACCTAGGCTGTTCCCAGTGTTTGGCTGTTATGAATGAAGCTGCTGTGAAGTTTCTTTCACAGTTTTTTTGTGGACATACATATGTTTTCATTTCTTTTGGATAAGTACCTAGGAGTGGAAGAGCTGGGTCAAAATGCAGCATATGTTTAGTTTTGTAGGAAACTTGCAGGCCTTCTCCCAGAGTGGTTGTGCTGTTTCACACTCCCTAGCAGCGTGCAGGAGATCACTGCACACACCCACCAGCATGCATGCTGCTGTGGCGGGGCAGTAGCGCCTCGTCCTCACTTTCATTTCAGTCATAGATAGTGCGGCTGAACTCTGTTTCATGTACTTGCCGGCTGCTTGTTTTTCATCGTGAAGCTTCTGGTAAAAAATTTTGCCCATTCTGGGCCGGCCCGGTGGCGCACTGGAGAGTGCGCTGCTTGGGAGCGTGGCAGCGCTCCCACCGAGGGTTCGGATCCCATGTGGAGACCGGTTCCCGCTCACTGGCTGAGCGCGGTGCGGGCGCAACACCGAGTGTTGCGATCCCGTTGCCGGTCCCCGGTACGGGCACAACACCAAGGGTTGCGATCCCGTTACCGGTCAGTAAAAACGACAAAAAGGAAAAAAAAATTTTTGCCCATTCTTTTGGCCTTTATTTAATTATTCTTAATTTTTTAAATAAAATTTTTTTAGGACAGTTTTAGGTTTACAGAAAAATTGTTCAGAGAGTTCCCATGTGTCACCTCTCTCCCCCTGGGTGACGGAGACGGAGACGCAAAGGATTACTCAAAGCCCATTTCTTCTGAGCAGTGAGAAGCCCTGAAGGGGTTAATTTTCCAGGAACCCTCAATAGAGAGGCATTCCTCCTTGGAAAATTAAAACCTGGCTGGGGTCTTCTCCCAGTATTTACTCTCCAGACCAAAAAGTTACAGAAAAGGAACATAGGTGAAGTTACAGCTTAGTTTAACAATAGAAGCTGGTAAGATCAGTGAAATGACAAAGGGACATTCTATAATGCAATTTGCAAAAGGTTAAGTCGATCCACCAACAAAAGCTTGTTCTTAGCAAATACTGTCTTTTCCTACAGCAGTTTCCTTAGTACGTTTACATACAATCAAGTAACTTTAGGTTAACCTGCACCAAGGACGTCTGTCCTTGAGCCAGCAATTTTTCTGTGTTACAATTCTTTATCTACAACAGTGACTTTAGCTTGGGGAAATTTTCCTGTCTTTTGCAAGCTTAACATTTCTATAAGTAATTTTAAAAAGTTAGGTTATACCTGAAACTACGGGGCTTTAGAAGCTAGGCCCTGTGGAATACATTTGCTTTATCAATGTTAGTACCCTCCACACTCATGTACCTCCTCCATCCCGCAGTTTCCCTGTTGTTGACATCTCGCGTCAGTGCAGTACGTTTGTTGTAGGTGATACAGCCAGTCTTGATGCATCATTATTAACTAAAGTCCATACTTCACATGTGGGTTCCCTCCTGGTGCTGTACAGTCTGTGGGTTTTGACAGATGCACGACGACATATGTCCACCACTGAAGTATCACACGGAGAAGCTGCAGTGCCCTGAAGGTCCCCTGTGCTCCACCCACTCAGCCCTCCTTCCCCCAGCCCCTGTAGTTTTGCCTTGTCCAGACGGTCATATGGTTGGAATCATCAGGTGTGGGTAGCACTTTGGTGTGCTATTTTTTCTGTTGTCTGTCTTCTTGATGTCGCAGGCTTCTGTTTGTGCAGTCAGTACTGTGTCCTTTCATCTCCTTTGACTTCATGTCTCTCTCCTTTTTCCCATTGCTCTTCTCATTAGTGCGTTGGTCTCCACTGCAGCGATGTCTGTCTTATTGCTTCTGCACTGCATGATGGAGTGCGCACCTTCAGAGACTGAGGACTCCTGCTCCTTCCCCTGAAGGACCTAGGAGCTCCTCCCCCTGCTGTCTGGGACTGTGTGGGAGGGTGCAGCACCGCGGGACTTTGTTTCTCCCAGACATGTTTGGGTCCTGAGGATTTCCCTCTGCATACCTGCTCTGGGCTTCTGATTCAGCACCATGAGAATCTCTTTATTAGTTACTTCTCAAAGCTACAGCAGACTCATGAGTGACATTAATTTTAACTTCATCTGTCAAGTTGCCTGAACCAGTGATTGGGTTTTTATATTTTTCTTTATGTATCCATCTGAGTTTTGGATGACATAGGACATATTCTTGGTACTATTTGTTCATGCTGGGAGCATGAACAGGTCCTACGCCAAAATCCCCACAGTTGTCCCCTTGAACACCAGCTCCGTGGCGGTACCTGCCAGGTGCTCACCTACTTAGCAGAGGGGTAGCTGCATATCTGTATGTCTGTTTCCAAGAGTCTGTGAGTGCTGGGGCCAAGAACTGAGCAGGGCATCTTCTGCCCCAGGACGCTGCCTGGTTCCGACAGGCTCTCAGTAAATGAGCATCGTTGTGCGTTTCCATGCTGTGTCGGGGATTGGACAGGCTTGCAGTGTGTGGGAGCTGTTCTGTGAATAGTGTGCTCTCTTGGGGATTGCATCAAACCACCCCCCTGCCCTGTTTCTGGATCCCCCTGACCTGGCTCCCCACTCTTGTAGCCCCTTGTCCTGGAAGTGAGTTCACAGAGGTCTCCCTCGATGCCTGAGGGATGGAAGGTTCTGGCCAGGCCCAATGTGCCCCTCTCACTTTTCCATCAGGGCCTTTCCTTCCTGATCATGTGTTGAGCTTAGATTTGGCCGGCAAGGCTCTGGTTCCCTTGGTGTTCAGCCTTTGCCCCTTTGAATACTGTGGGGTACCTGAGCCCACCAGCTCCATGCAGACGTCCTTGACTCCTGTTCCAGACATGCTCCTGGACCTCAGTGACCTGCTCCAGGTAGGCCAGTTTCCTTTTATCTCTTTCTCTATCTGATGCCATGACTGGGGCATACCTGTATACACCTGGAGGCCACTTTGTGCTCCCTGCCCCATGGGATGCCCCCATCTGTGAGATGGAGAGCTTTTGTGATTCTGGGGTTGCTAGGACAAGACACATGCGAGTGTAGGTCTCCGCAAGGTGGGAGGGGCAGCTGCCGGCCAAGGTCACGGGTCCTAGTGTTGTCCCAGCTTGAGGACCCTCACAAACTTTTCTCCTAGCCAAGGGAGATTCTTTATCTTCTTTTTTTAAAAAGATGACCGGAGGGCCGGCCTGGTGGCGCACTGGAGAGTGTGCCGCTTGGGAGTGCGGCGGCGCTCCCGCCGAGGGTTCGGATCCCATGTGGAGACCGGTTCCCGCTCACTGGCTGAGCACAGTGCAGGCACAACACCGAGGGTTGCGATCCTGTTGCCGGTCCCCGGTACAGGCACGACACCGAGGGTTGTGATCCCGTTACCGGTCAGTAAAAAAGACAAAAAGGAAAAAAAAAAGATGACCGGTAAGGGGATCTTAACCCTTGGCTTGGTGTTGTCAGCACCACACTCAGCCAGTAAGCGAACCGGCCATCCCTATATAGGGATCCAAACCTGTGGCCTTGGTGTTATCAGCACCGCACTCTCCCAAGTGAGCCACGGGCCAGCCCCAAGGGAGATTCTTTAAAAGAAAAAAAATTTGACACACATTTCAAACTGTAGGAAAACCTGTTTACAGTCTGTTTAGAGAAGCTTGCTTTCTGGGTACAGACAAAGCATTTCCTCTTGCCTCGCTCATTTTCACACAACTGAACATAGTGGAAAGTCCCAACACCAGGGACATTTGTGGGAACAGGATGCTCACGGGGGTTGGAGGGCTCAAGGCTCTGCACTGTGTTCCCAGGGCCTGTCTGGGACTGGGCTTATGTCCTTGGTGTCGTGCCCTGGTGTGGCAGGACCCCAGACCCACAGTGATGACACTGAGTATGCAGAAAGAGAAAAACAAGCATGACTACAGTCATCGAAAACAAGCATGACTACAGTGTGAAGGTTCATGCAGAATTCTCATGGCTTTCATACCTAGAAGAGAAACCTTCTGTCTGGATTCGGGTGCCCCTCAGGGGGCCAAGGGCCTGAGGGCTGTGCCGCTGCCTCTGGCACTGGGGGCTCAGTGCCCTGCGGTAGCCACCAGAGTTAGACTTCTCCTTGAATCAGATGGTGGTTTGTATTTTTGTCCTCCCAGCTGTCTTTATAAATGGCATCTCTCAGAAGCTATTGCTGAGGTATTTTGTGGTCAAGCTAAAAATAATCTGTTGGAATTGTGATAATCCAGCAACTGCACGTTTTGAATGCACTGTGCTTGGTTCGGGGCAAGGCCATGTGACCCTGTTTCCCACCCGCTGACTTCCTGGGAAGGATGGGCCTGAGGGCCAGGGATGGGGTGGCTGCTTCAGAAGTGGCCTGGGCATCTCTTGGGGGTGGGGATGGGGTGTTCTAATAGCTTCACAGCCTTTGGAAATGGGAAACCAATCAGATTGTCAGAACAGAAGGTGGTGAGTGGGAAGTGGAGGCTCCTGCTTGCCATGGGCTGAGCCAGGGCATGGGGTGAGGGTCCTGTGCTGGCCAGGGACAATCTACTTTGACTTATGACACCTCAGGTAGAAGGGCAGAGCCATGTGCCAGATGGAGGGTGTCAGGTGTCCTGGCAGGTGGCGGGCTGGACAAGGCTGGCACCCCCAGAGGGGGCCCATAGCATGTTCCTTCCTTCCTGCATGGTCTCCCTGGGGGTCCACACTGCGCTTGGCATTTAAGGGACAGATGTTTTCACACCTGTCTGTGGGTGTAAAGTATATGCCCACATCAAGTGAGGACCTCGCCCCGAGGGGCTCTGCGCCACTAGGCCTGACTGCTTTGTGTAAATGAGTAGAAGGTTTAACTTGGGAAGAGACCACACACCTGTCTGTGGGTGTAAAGTATATGCCCACATCAAGTGAGGACCTCGCCCCGAGGGGCTCCGCGCCACTAGGCCTGACTGCTTTGTGTAAATGAGTAGAAGGTTTAACTTGGGAAGAGACCACCCAAGTTGAGATCCTTCTTTCATTGCTGATTCATACACATATCAAAGGTTAAACTTCTAGGGCCGAGCCCGTGGTGCACTCGGGAGAGTGCAGCACTGGGAGCACAGTGGCACTCCTGCCGCGGGCTGGATCCTATATAGGGATGGCCAGTACGCTCACTGGCTGAGCGCAGTGCGGTCGGTCTCAAAAAAAGGACAAAAAAAAAAGGTTAAACTTCTCCCCAGTGCTGAGCTCAAAGTCACCTACCCTCTGGCTGGAGCCTGTGGGGTGGGGCCTGGTACACACTCTACAGAGGGATTCTGGGTCCTCCAGTGAGCTACACGGTAGGACCCTAGATCCCCCTTATGGCAGACACAGGGTCGCTCACTCACTGGGTGCACGGACTCTCAGAGGCAGGGCCTGGAGGCTCAGAGTCCACCTGCCATCCTGGGAGAGGAATGGGAGGGCAGGCAGAAGCCAGAGACGCACTTCCAGAGGGACCTGGATGTCCCAGCAGCAGATACTAGTGTTGCTGTTCTCTAAACAATGTGGAATCAGAAGGGTCGCAATGCAGGAGTCTGGTAGGATCCATCATGAGGGCTGGGGTGCTGCTGAGAAGATGCATGACAACACCTATGTACACGTTCACACACACCACAGTTTGGTGAGCAGACCCCAGGGACTCTTAGACCTCTGGAAACTCTGTGAGAAGGCAGAATTCCTTCAGAAAGCATGCTCTGGGAGCCACCAGCCCTTATGATGGAGCCCTCAGGGATCTCTCTAGAAGATAGAAACTGTGCCCAGCCAGAGGTGAAAGGTGACCAGTGAACAGTTGCCCACTGCTGCCTGGTTATGGAGGCTCAGCCCTGGCCCTTGCAGCTGGCAGACCCCCTGAGCTGACCTCCCCACGACTCCTTCCAGCTCCTGCCTCTAATGTAGACCCCCTGTGTAGTATCATCCCTTAGATCTCCGGCCCCTTCAAGTCAGCAAGCACCTGGGGGTGTCACCTGTGCAGTGGGACAAAGGCCCTTGTCCAGGGGCCCACAGGCCAGGCTTATCAGGTGAGAAAGTTCTTAGGGGAGGCCAGAGGCAGAAAGCCAGACCCACCAAACCTGTGAGGCCCAGGGGTCCCAGGGGTAAGGCTGGGTTGAAGGTAATGGCAGGGCTTTCACAGACTGAGGCTAAGACACTGAAGCCAGTATAGGCTTGGGATGGGAACCTGTACTCTCCCAGCTCTGCACCTTGTCCATGCTACTCCACCTGGACAGCTTCTGCCACACCCCATCAGACCCTGCTCAGAAGCATCCTCCCCAAAGCTGCCCATGCATCTGATCAGCATCAGAGTCATGGCTGTATCATCAACAGGGCTCCTTAGAGGAGCCCGGCCCATTGCAGGGCTGGGGCCAAGGCCCTGGGCCTTGTGCTCAGGGTCTGCAGAGGTTGGGGTCCTGCTCTCTTGAGCACAAATGATGATGCTCCCACCACTGACTGCCAGACCTTGGGGCAGCCCCTGCCCTGCCTGGGCCTCACCCCCATCGCCCACCACCCTGTGGCAGGGAAGAATGTGATGGTAGGTGACCAAGGCAGGGAGTGGCAGGCTCTGTGGCAGATTTAGACTTGAGGTGGGAGCAGTGGATGGTCACTGAGGAACCCAGATGGGGATCCCAGCAAGGGGGCTGAGGCCAAGACCACTAGGCCCATAGGAGTCAGGGTGGCAAAGGTGTGGCCAATGGGATTCCAAATTAAATGCAGCATGAGAGCTTATACCCTGACAGGTCACCTTCAGGCAGGTTTTTTTCTGAGCAAATACCGCCACTGGGGAGACAGTGTAGTGGGGTCTAACGCAAGAGGGAAGGGCCCTGCGTGACCCAGAGGCTAAGTGAAGGACAGCCAGGCTGCTGGGGTGAGGAATGGGGGGCTCCACCAGCCGGCAGGGGCCTCCACCATCAGATTCTTTAATGACTAAACAATGAAGTACTCATTTTAAGAAACAAAAAAAGGAAACATTTCCTTAAACACCAATGCTTCTCTGGTTGTGGTCTTTGCATCACAGGTGAACGTGTATGTGCTGGGGAAGACGTTTCTTCTGTTGGCGAGAGAGCTCTGCATCAACGCACCAGCCATAGGTATGTGGCAGGGCTTAAGGGTGTCCGATGGGCTGCTTTAGACACCAGTGTGCCAAATGTCCTTTGAAGAGTGGGAGGGAAATCAGTGCAGGACCCCTCCAGGTAAGAAATGTCTCCTAAAAGCTGCCAGTAGCTCAGGACAGTGGTGCAAAACCAGAAGGCCTGTGCAAAACCAGAAGGCCCACTGTCAGTGCCTGTCAAGTGTGGACGAGGGTATAGACAGGGAAATGGAAGTGGCACTGCATGCTGTGAGCCCGTCTTGTTCAGACAAGGTGTGAGGAAGACACCTGGCTGCCAGGTTCCTCTGGGAAGGCAGGACATCTGCACAGACAAGGAGTGGTGGGGGTGGCTCCTGGAGATAGTGCCCTCCCAGCTACGGCCCTTTCTTTGAGCTTTACCAAGGAGTGGTTTTCACAGCCTGCTTCGAGGGCCTTCTCCTTACTTTGCCTGTGGATGTCTATAGTATGTCTCTTTAAAGGTAAAGAAGCACCATGTGTGGCAGGGAGCAGGGGGATGGGTCACCAACAGGGCTGGGCCCCCGGTTCTGGCAGGGTGGGGGCTGCAGCAGCACAGGGACACAGGGCTGGGGCCCTACACCCGGCCCACACCCTCCCCAGAGAGGCCACACCCCTGTGCTGAGTGGGGCCATCCCTCCCCTTGAAGTTCTGGCAGGGTGGGGGCTGCAGCAGCACAGGGACACAGGGCTGGGGCCCTACACCGGGCCCACACCCTCCCCAGAGAGGCCACACCCCTGTGCTGAGTGGGGCCATCCCTCCCCTTGATGGGCCAAGCTGGAACTTTCCAGAAACAAAGCAACTGGCCATGGAGCATGCAGCAGCATGGGAGGACAGAGGCAAGGGCTGAAGCAGCTGCTCTACCCCACAGCAGGCTGTCCTGGCCCTACAGAGCGTGGCCCCCAGCCCCCCACCGCTCTCAGATCCAATTATTAAAGTAGGACTGTGTCTGAGATGCTAGTGACGCTTGAGGAAGTACAGAGACAACCAGACACTGGCCATTCCCCGAGTGTTCTAGCTACAGCCCTGGAGAGGAAGCCAGCCCAGACACTGCATGGGCCTGGGGACATAGGGGCTTCCCTGGGACACAGTTTGCTTCTAACCACTTAGCACTCTGCAGCACTGTAGGTTTTTTCTAGTGATGGCAGGGAGTTCTCACCTTCTCAATTGTACAAGAAAGAGAACACCTCAATTTACGATCCGTATAATCATTCATCTACAAGTGGCTATCATTTTATGAAACCTTTATTATGAAAATCCACTTAAACAGATAACTACTTTAAGTGACTTTTTGCCAAGTTTGGATTTGAAGGGAAGGTCTCCAGTTATGCTTGAAAAAACTTAGAATCCAAGAGTGTAGGAGGAATGTCCAAGCCCTCAAAGCAGATGGCACGGTACCACTGGGAGGGGATCTGGAGCCTGCCTCATGCCCCAAATCTTCCCTCTCCTTGAGACGTGCACCGTGTACAGGAGATGCCTAAAACTGAGACACCCAGGGTCTGGCTGCATAGAACAGGCATCTATTTCACAGAACCGGGTTACATCTGACTACATACGAGAGAGAGAGTAAGTGAACTGCTGTGAAGGACAGGCTGGGCAGCCTAGCCTTCCCCGATGTCTTCACAGCGCATCTCAGGCGTAGAAGATGAGCTCAGGGATCTGCCCGCCCTGGACCCCGGTCCCATTGGTGCTGTCCGAGGAGCACTGGAACTGGAAGGTCACCTTCCCGCACTGCACTTCTGTCATCCCCTCCTGCCCAAAGTAGCTGAGCTCACTGCCATCCAGGACGGCACTAGCTGTGTAGAAGGTGTCCTGCTCAACTTGGACGGGGTGTTCAAACCAGACTGAGAAAGTGTTACTGGATCCATCTGACACAAACTTGGTCAGATTCTGAGCCAGAACCATCCCCAGCCGCTTGAGTTCAATCTTCACACTGTACTCAGCCTTCCCAGAGCTGGACCCATATAAGCCCATACCTGCAATAAATACCCTTCTGTCCACAGCAAACTGGATGCTGTCACAGCGCCCACGGTACCGCCACTGGTTGCTGCGGTAGGCAGAAGACTGGAAGCGGTGGCACCTCTGGGGGGTGAGGCCCTTCCTCTTCGTCAGGGGGAAGTCGAGGAGGGGCTTATTGGCAGCTGTGTACCATAGGAAGATGTTGTGGGTCTCCTCCAGTGTCAGGATATCCGACTGCGCAGCGCCATTGGCAAACTCCTCCAGGGTCATGGTTGGAATTCGGACCAGATAGAGGGCTCGCCCCAAAACATGCCTCTTGTTGCGTGGGGTGACCGGTAGGCCCTGCCTCTTGCACTCTGCCTCAGCCCAGTTCAAGACAGCCTCAAAGACCACAGCCTCCTTGGTGTTGAGGGCCTCCCGAGTCACGATGATCTCCAGCGTCTGCCAGTCTATTTCACAGAAGCCCTCAGACCTCAGGGCCATCTCGGCCTGTGCGTCAATGACCTCCCAGCAGCGCTGGGTCAGCTCAGGCTCCTCAAACAGCCGACTCTGGGACAGCAGGACACAGGCATTTTTGGCTTCAAGACTTGTCTCCAGAAAGTTGACACAGGCTTTTGCCAATGCAGGGACAATGTACTTCTTGGCAGCATACAGAGTGGCCAGCACCGTATCGGCTTCTAGATCAATCTCATCACTGTACATGTACCTAGGCAAGGCAGGGCTTGCGTCAGAGACTCCCCAGAGGTTTGGGCCTGGGAGTGGCCCATCACCTCCTGTGTGCTTCCCCTCAGGAGCTGCGGGATGCTGCCTAGTGGTGACCAGGCAGAAAAGAACCACCCCGTCCTTCCAGGCTCACACAGCACTTACTTTAACAAGATTAGAAAAGCTGCAGGCTCCACGTCCGGAATGTGGATTTCTGCCTTGACTTCTGCAAGGTCCCCATAAAACATGGCATAGAAGACGGAGCTACCAACAGCCAGAACGTACTGCGGATGAGAAAGATTTGTCGTGAGCCGATGGGCTGCACGGGCAGTAAGGAAGACATGGGGAGGCTGTGTCCAGCCACACACGCGTCAGGGACAGCTCAATTTTAGGAGGTTGCCTGTGCCTTTGGGAGCTCAAAGGGCTGAGCCTCTGCCTACCAACCTTGTGGGCAGGCACCCTCCTGGTCGCCCCCAGGGGCCCCACGATGAAGTGGACGTCGGCCATGAGCTCGTTGTTGAACATCAGCGCGTTCCTGCAAAGGGCAGAGGCACAGGGGCTGGGTCCGGGCGGGCGCGGCAGGGGCGCGTGCGGGGCGCAGCGGGGGCGCGGCGGGCTCACCTCTCGCGCAGGGTCGGGTGGAAGGACTGCCAGTTGGGGCTCTCCAAGTT